TCTGAGGCCTAGTTCTTCATGGAGTTAAAGAAATCAGTTCAGTGCTGATCTTTTCACTGGCTCAGTAAGACTGCTTCTTGAATAAAAAATGCTTTATACAAGGTAGGCAACCAGTAGTTACATTGGAATGAATGAATGAAAGCCCTTTCACTCTTAACACTCAGGTATTTGGGGAGACCAAAGAAAGAGAAGACCATTGTAATCAGACCTCCCTTCCTTCGACCAGAAGTGTCAGATGGGCAGATAACTGTGAAGATCATGGACAATGGCATCCAGGGAGAGCTGAGGAGAAGTAAGGTGAGGAATTAGGGGAGCAAAGCTAGGTAACTCGGAGACTCTCGCTCATGGCAAAGAGATAGAAATATACTTTCAGTTTACATCTCTGTGATAGTATTTACCACTTTCTGATTTGTGTTAAAATTATTTAAATACATACCTTCTTTTCTCCATTAGATTGTAAGTTTACTGACATTAGAAATTGAGTCCATTCATTTCCATGTCTTCATTGGACTTAACATAGCAGCTTGCAGGTGGTTAGAAATCAAGTAGTGGTGAGAATGAAAAAATAAGTAACAGGATTAAATCCTTGTTGAAAACTTTTCTTTATCCAGTACCATTCCCAAACTCTTGTCCCTGTCTTCCCTTCCAGTTTAGATAGAAATATATAGTAATTGACTTTCCAACACCCCTGTAGTAATCTCAGTTCTCCAAATCTGCTTTGCCTTCCTTTACCCAGTCTAAGGGAAGCTTGGAGATTACAGAGAGCCAGTCCGCAGATGCTGAACCTCCGCCTCCTCCTAAGCCGGACCTGAGCCGTTACACGGGGCTACGAACACACCTCAACCTGGCTACTAATGAGGGTAAGGGCAGCAGCAGGAGTGAGACTGAACTGTAGAGAAGACAGGCAGGGGCTAGGAGATAATGCTTGTGTTGTGGCTGAGAACACCCAACAGGTAGCACTTGAAGCACTTTTTTTTAAGGGAGAGAGAAACATTGATTTGTTCCACCCATCTGTGCATTCATCGATTGCTTCTTTTTAAAGATTGATTTATTTATTTTCAGAGAGGTGAAGGGAGAGAGAAAGAGAGGGAAAGAAACATTGATTGGTTACCTCCCGCATGCTCCCACCCGGAGCAGATGAAAATTCATCTGCAGCCCTGTCATGTGCCCTGACTGGGTGTTGAATCAGCAGTCTTTCAGTTCACAGGCTGGTGCTCAATCCACTGAGCCACACAAACTAGGACCATTTGTTGCTTCTTGTATGTGCCCTGACGGGATTGAACCCACAACTTTGGTGTATTAGCACGATACTCTAACCAGCTGAGCTACCTGGCCTGGGCTTGAGCCACTACTTTGGACAGCTGGGAGAAAAGGGATGCTTCTGAAGTTATTGCCAGTGAATTGGACATTTGTGGAGGAACTGTCATCTCTAGACAGAGCAGAGAGCACCCTAGACCTGTTAGGTGCATTCTCTCACTCTGAATTCTGAGCTAATAGGAGTCTTGAGCCTTGATTTCAGCAAAATCATGTTCCCAAGACTCTTCCCCGGGACTATCTATAGATAGATATATACCTAGGTATGTCTATCTATTCCTACTGTGTTCTTCCCTATACTTGAAGGAACTCTAGCCAGGTTAAGAGAGCAGTTTGTAAAGTGGTGTCCTCTGGGCCTTTTTCCTGCAGATAGCAGCCTCCTGGGCAAGGACAGCCCCCCCACACCTACCATGTACAAGTATCGGCCAGGCTACAGTAGCAGCAGCACATCAGCCGCCATGCCTCATTCTTCCAGCGCCAAGGTACTGAGTCCTGTCTAAGAAGTAGGGTTGTATGTATGCCAACTGTTCTGGGAAAAAGAACATTGGGAGAGGGGAAAGGAGAGGCAGAGGGAAGAAAAAAGGCATTTTACTAATTGTTGATGTTAGTGGGATTGAATCTCCATGACAGTGTTATTTCATTAAAGGAAGCAATGTAGCATAATAGATAAAAGCACTGATTAAGTGTCATACCTGAGTTCAAAACCCATCACAGGCAAGTTACTTAACCTGTCTTATATTTTGCATCTTAAAATGGGGTATTATTTGTCCCAACTCATAGATTTGCTTTAGGGGTCAAACAGGATAATGCATGTAAAATGGTCTAAACATTGTTGGCATATAACAGGTCCTGTCTTTGATGGACTCCTTGGGCTCTAGGGCCTAGCGTCTGTCACAGGAGGAGCAGCACTAAGGGTCTGCTTTACTTTCTCCCCCAGTTGAGTCGTGGTGACAGCTTGAAGGAGCCAACCTCAATTGTCGAGAGCAGCCGCCATCCCAGCTACCGCTCGGAGCCCAGCTTGGAGCCAGACAGCTTTCGTTCTCCCACTTTTGGCAAAAGTTTTCACTTCGATCCACTGTCGAGTGGTTCACGCTCCTCCAGCCTCAAGTCGGCCCAGGGCACAGGCTTTGAGCTGGGCCAGTTGCAGTCCATTCGTTCAGAGGGTACAACCTCCACCTCCTACAAGAGCCTGGCGAACCAGACACGCAATGGAAGCCTATCTTATGACAGCCTGCTCACTCCTTCAGACAGCCCTGATTTCGAGTCAGTGCAGGCAGGGCCTGAGCCAGACCCGCCTTTAGGCTACACCTCTCCCTTCCTGTCAGCCCGGCTGGCCCAGCAACGGGAAGCCGAGAGGCACCCACATTTGGTGCCAACCGGCCCAGCACACCGAGAGCCCTCACCAGTCCGGTACGACAATCTGTCGCGCCATATTGTGGCCTCCCTCCAGGAACGAGAGAAGCTGCTACGCCAGTCACCCCCACTCCCAGGCCGCGAGGAAGAACCAGGCTTGGGGGACTCAGGCATTCAGTCGACACCAGGCTCTGGCCATGCCCCTCGTACTAGTTCTTCCTCAGATGATTCGAAGAGATCACCCTTGGGCAAGACTCCACTGGGACGCCCAGCTGTCCCCCGTTTTGGCAAGCCAGATGGGCTAAGAGGCCGGGGACTAGGGTCCCCTGAACCAGGCCCAACTGCCCCATACCTGGGCCGATCTATGTCTTACAGCAGCCAAAAAGCCCCACCTGGCGTCTCTGAGATGGAAGAAGTGGCCTTGCAGCCGTTACTGACACCCAAGTAAGTATTAGTCCATCCTGAGCCTCAGCCGACTTAAAATCAGCATCCTGCCCTACAGAACGTTATCAGGGCTGCCCTTGTACATTGTGGTGCAAATGGACCCAGGGTTATCCTGCCTGTGGATACCTCTTCATTTCCATTCTTACTCCAGCTGCCTTCATGCCCCTTCATTCCTGTTGAAGAGGCTGAAGTTTAGTACTTTTTTCTTAATCCTGTCTTCCTAAAAAGTAATTTTCTGAGAGGAAAAATACAAGATAGCTGCTGTTGGAGAGAAGGAGTAAATAGGAGATAGGGAATCAGGCTTGTTTCAAGCAGGGCAGTAAGACAGGATGTTTGGGTAAGGAAGTATGTGCTAAGTGTAAACCATTTAATTAAAAAATTGTATCACACTAAAAGAAGTATATGTAGAAAAGTACATCTTTTTTTTAAAAAAACTATCTCCCTTTTCTGTGTTTTGTGTCCCCCTTCCTGACACCTCTCTCTTCCTTTCTTCCCAGAGATGAAGTACAGCTCAAGACCGCCTACAGCAAATCCAACGGGCAGCCCAAGAGTATAGGCTCAGCCTCCCCTGGCCTAGGCCAGCCACCTCTCAGTAGCCCCACAAGGGGAGGAGTCAAGAAGGTGTCAGGAGTGGGTGGCACAACCTACGAGATTTCAGTGTGAGCCTTCGGCACGTCCCCTCCCCCACACCTCTGCGCCTACACCAAAGGGCCCCCTAGTTGGCCACCTTCCTTTCCTCAAGGGGCTCCTCTCCCTTGCATGGACATTTTTTAAACCACTGATTCCAAGAGGATGAGGAGTGTTTTATAAAATGCAATGGGGTTGGGGAGTCGGAGAGTTGGGGCCCTAAGACTGGGGTAGCAACCCCCTTTACCTTTTAAGACCTTCCCTTCCTTAATCCCTGGACCAGACTCAGTGGACGTTTGTGCAATTGCTCGCCCTGGAGGGAACCAGATCATTTTTAAACCAGAAATAATTTTTTTTATTATTGTTACGGATTCTATTTTTTTCCTCTTCTGCGTTACCAGGTGTATGTGTACATATATATATATATTATAAATAACAAAGATTATATATCTATCCTGGGATGGGAAGATGAGGGAGGGATATGTTTAAGGAGGGGGGTCTTAACTCTTCCCATTCCCCAGACCAGCAGGAAAAGAGAGAGACGTGGCTAGAAGTCTTCCTTTTCCCCAGGGTTCCCTCTTTTGTCCATTGCAATGAAGAAAATAGCACCGCTGCTGTTGGTGCTAAGTGATCAGGAAAGAAAATGGGGAGAGGTGAGTCTGAGGTCTTCGTCAGAGGAGGGAGAGGAGAGTTAGTTTTCTAGGCTCATTGGCACTTAGTTTCCCCAGGAAAGGGGTCACAGACCCATGATTTTTTTGGTGGTGGGAAGGTCAGGAAGAGCCAGGCCAAGCTCTAGAAACAACTGCATAACCCCCTTTTCTTGGGGTAGAGGGATTAGGGTGGGCTTCTTCAACTAGCCCCTCAAGATGGGGGAACTAGCCCCCTTCCCCCATCTCACAGTTAACATTTTTAAATCTAAGGCCAGGAGAATCCAAAAAGCAATATTTTTCATCACATGCCAAAAATGGGATAGAGAAAAGGAGTGGCAGGCCTAGGCCCCTCCGGATGTCCCTTTGGGGGTTACCCCTCAGCCCACCTCAATATGGTGCTGGGTAGAGGGGACACCTGGGTTCTAACCTCTGAATAGAGGAGACCCCAGCCTCTAAATAAGAGGCCCTTTTATTTTTTATTCTGATTAGCCATTTTAAACCAACAAGGAATAAAAACAAATCCTGATCTAACCAGCTCCCCCCGACTTGTGTTGTTTTGTCCGGTTAAGGCAGGGTGAGTGGATCTCTGATGGGGAGTTACAAAGAATACCTCATAAGCTTCTCCAGTCCTGACCCATCTGTAGGCAGGAAAATAGTGAAAATAACCACTCAAAAACAACAGGTCTTGTTTTTTTCCCCCTTGGTGATTTAATTTGAAAATTCCTGAAAAAAAATTATTTCCAACCACTAAAAGTTGTCATTTTGAGGCTTAGAGAACTCCTGATATGTGCCACACTTGTTCCTTAATACAGAATTGTCTCTGGAAAGTGTGTCCATTTTGGATGTGGCCAATGGGAGATGGTGGATGATCAAAGTATGAAAGCCTGTTAAAGGCCTTCTGTACACACAGGTGGCAGTTAATTTGGTTAGCTCCTATTTTCTCTTTGCGAAAGCAAAAGGCTGTAGCCTGATTTTAATAGGCATCCTTAGACAGTAAACCTCAGAAAACTAGCCAGAACCCTTTAAGTATATAAACGCTGGCTCTGAAATTCTAGACTACAACTGGAACTAAATGAGTGGTCTTCTACCTACTGATCTGGGAATAACCTTGGCTCAACAGACTGTAACAGACTGTAACTTCTGTCAAACTTAGTTTCAAGTCAGATTACCTTCGGCTGGGTTTTCTCAGATTTCTTCAGTTACCTGGCCTGTTGTAAAGATCAAAGGGACTTAATTTTACATTTTGTTAGTTCAGTTTGCCTGTTTGTTGCTATCTTAGAAGCTTAGAAATGTTTTCACATGCCAAATACTTCATCTTAACTAAGGAATGAAGCAGGTCAGAAGTTCTTCAAAGATGAGAAGCATTTGCCTTTGGCCAGATAATCACTTAAAAAAATCATGGGCCTGACCAAGAATCAACCTGCTGAAGTACACTGGTGATCATGGGTGCTTTTTCAGTTGGCTATTCTGTTTTAAAACAAAATTGACCTAGAATATAGTTGAGCCCTAACTGGATGGATGAACTCTTCAGATAGAGGCTGAAGATCATCCAGGTGTTTGGTTCTCAACATTATGGACAAGATATTATGTGTCTGCTGTGGAAAGATATTAATAAGCTCTGCCTAACTTCTGGACCATGTTCCCCAATCTTACTTTGGTTGGTTCCCTCCTATTGATGAATCCCCCCCCCCCCCCGACCTTAGCATGCCTTCATTCAAACCCTGACTCTCACAGAAAGGCACTTACCTCTGTTAACAGGCAGCCATACTTCAGCCAGTTTGATAAATGCAAATTTTTTTTAAAAGAAAAGCCTTAACATCAGGTAAGGTCCTAAATCAGACACACTACACAAAAGATGAAAACTTCCTCAGAAAGGAAGTGATGTCCATGAAAAAGCTGGGCTGAACCTTACAAAAGCATGGCCCTTCTCATAATGCATTACTCTTAACTGAGCACAGTAGGACTGGCTTCTGTTCCAGCACAGGGGATGCTCCTAAGGCAGTGTCCAAGAGCCAGGAAGGCAGCTTTTGACAGTAGGTTCAGTACGGCAGGAAAAGTCCTGGCAGTCCAGTGGTCCTGTTAGCGGAGGCTGCTGCTGCTGCTGGCCTGAGAACTGCCCATACCAGGGTGGTCTGGACTGTGTCGGTTCTGGGGAAGACAAAGGAGGGATAAGAGAACCACTAGGAAACAGCCTTGGGCTCGATCAGGGCTGTATAGGAAAACGCCGCAAACTGCACTGAGTTTTCAATGTAGGGTCCAAACTGGGGCCAAGGACTCTACCTACCTAGAATGGGGGAAACACTGTGCTGCAGCCATAGGCCCCTACCTTCTTTTTCTTCTTCTCTTTCTTCTTCCTTTTCCGTTCAGGGTCCTCTTCTTTTTTCTTTTTCTTTTTCTTGTGATCTGAATCAGATGGTGTTTCTGTAGGAGACATTAAGTGCCTATCAACTGTAGAGCTCAAAATTCCCTCCTGCTAGATAGAACTCTACAGACCACAGGAAAAACCCCAGTCAAGGGCAACTGCTTTTGTTCAAATGGCCAGAGAGAATAGAAGGGCACTGCTAACGTCTTTGTCCTAAAGGTCCTCCTACTTGCCCCGGAGACCTCACTATATCAGTTTCTTTTTTCAGGACAATTTGGGAGTACAGGGCTCTGTAAGGAACCTAACTTTTTTTTCTCAACTGAGGAAGGTTGAATCAGATTCAGAACAGGCTTTCTGGCTTTGAACAGAACTTCTTACCTGGGGGGACAGGATCCTGGGTACGGCTCTGTTTGTGCTTGTGCTTATTCTTTTTCTTGGGAGGCTGAATATGCATCAGACGACACTGCTCTGGCAACTGAAGGAACCAAAGAAAGGACCAGGTGAGTGGAGGGAGGAAATCCCCTGCTGCACTGTCTGTTCGGCTCAGTAAGTTAGGAAGGAACAGGCCTGGACAGGAAAACTAGTCCCATGACTTTCAGGACTCCCCATATGCCTCCTTCCTCCCCAAAAGGGGACTCACCGGGCCAGTGTGGAGGCGAAAGCCAGCCAGCATGGTCCCTGTGATAGGATTGAAAGAACCACCAAGAATAGGGGGCTTCTCAATGAGGGAGCGGAGGCTGCTGTTATCATGGGAACCTGGCAGATCAATCATCCCTGGCAGGTCAGGCAGGAAGTTACTCAGCTTCTCTTTCACCTTCTTCCCACAGAATTTATTGTAGGCATGTTCCAGGTTGTAGTGTGTGATCAGGTTGGTACTGCCTGTCAGCTCGGTGCTGCCTAGAGGATGCAGAAAGAAAATAAAAAAATGTTTAAAGATATTTATTTACTTTTTAGACTTAGGGGAAGGGAGAGAGGGAGAGAAATGTTGTTGCCTCTCGTGTGCCCCCCACTAGGGACCCAGCCCAAAACCCAGGCATATGCCCTAGACTGAGAATTGAACCTGCGACCTTTTGGTTCACAGGCCAGAGCTCAATCCACTAAGCCACACCAGCCAGGGCAAATAAAATATTTTTTAAAAGTCAGCCACCCAATATTTATACTGATAATACCTTACATTTATACAACACTTTATACTTTCTAGTATGTTTCCACTGAAACCTTGAAAAAGTTCAGTGTACTTAAAATAGTTACTGCCACATTTCATGGATAAGAAGAAACAGAGTAGAGAATTTTCCAGAGGGAAAAGTGAAGGACTGTATTTTAACCTAAATTAAGGAATCTTTCAAGTGAAAATTACAAAACAAAAAATTAAATTTTAAAGAAATAGCAAAAGTAAACATAATCAAACACTAAAAATATATTTAAAATTGGGAATTAGAAAAAAAGTAGGCAAAAATCCAAATAGAGCAGAGATGGAAACTGCTCTAACCTAGCAAAGGAGACACTCTTCCCTGGATTAACCAGAACACTAACTTCCGAGATACTTACTCCGTGTAAGCACTACTCTGAGTGCTCTTCATAAAACGGGTAGTGAGAAATTACACTCCCTGTCATGACCAGGATAATAATACCTGACAGCTCAGCCACAAGCAAGCTAAGGGCCAAATATGACACAACGGGCCCCCCAGGTTTTGTTTTGTTTTTTCCCTACCAGAATTACTGATCACCTTTACACGGAAAAAGAGCCACGAGCTTTTTCTAAGCTACTGCCACCTAACTTTCGTTATCACCATCGTTATAATACTCCTCATAATATTGAGAATTTTAGTTGCCCAACTTCTTATCACACATTTCTTTCTTCATTTCTCATCCTAGCTGTTTTCTATGCCTCAGCTGTTTCTTATACATGGAATGTGGTAATAGTATCTTAAGTACACTGAATTTTTTTCAAGATACAAATGAAAACATACTGCAGAGTATAGAGTATTATAGAAGTGCAACACATTATTGGTATAAAATATTGCATGGCTGACTTTTTCCCAAAGAATATGAACTTATTAGTAATTTAATATGAATCCAGTGGCAAGGAGGGAAGTATCTAGCCTACAACTTTTCATCTAGAGTTATGATGAACACAAAAGGCACAAATGACATAAATAGCTTGTTTATAATCCTCCATTTGGGAGAACAGGTTCTCAACTGTGAGCCCTGAGGGTAGAGACGTCTTGTTCATTTCCGTATTGCTGGTGCCCAAAACTACACACACTTGATGCTCAATAACTACTAAATGAACCAGGTGTTTTTTTTTTTCCCTCCAAACCTCTAGGCTTTACTCTCTTCCTTGTTTTTTCATGTCAAACATCTCAGAAGAGTGGTCTACTGTTAACGGCAGGAGTCACAGTGCTACAGTACCTCACATAACTCAGCACTACCGCCTGCCATTATAGTATTCTGATTGTATCCCCTTTTCTGTTGGCTCTCCTTCTTCCAGGGGGTTATGCTCAAGGCTCAGGTGCAAAGACAGTCTGCTTTTTCCGAACTCTTTAAATGTTGTTCAAGTAGTTTTCTGTCTTATACTTCCATCCCAGCCCACCCCACCCCATGCTCCCCACCTCCCTCCCATTTCTACCCCCCTTAGTTTTTATCCATGTGTCCTTTATACTTGTTCCTGTAAACCCTTCCCCTTGCCCCCTGAAATTCCCTCCCCTCTCCCCTCCGGTCACCGTCAGTCTGTTCTCTATTTCAGTGTATTTAGTTGTATTTTGCTTGCTTGTTTGTTTTGTTGTTTAGGATCCTGTTAAATACCACCTGTTAAAGGTGAGATCATATGGTATTTGTCTTTTACTGTCTGGTTTATTTCACTCAGCATAATGCTTTCCAGTCCCATCCATGCTGTTGTAAAGGATAGGAGCTCCTTTCTTTCTGCTGCATACAATTCCATTGTGTAAATGTACCATAGTTTTTTTATCCGTTCATTTACTGATGGGCACCTAAGTTGCTTCCAACTCTTGGCTATTGTAAATTTTGCTGCTGTGAACATTGGGGTGCATAGGTTCTTTTGGATCGGTGTTTTAGGGTTCTTAGGATATAATCCTAGCAGTGGAACTGCTGGGTCAAAAGGCAGATCCATTTTTAGTTTTCTTAGAAAATTCCATACTGTTTTCCATAGTGGTTGTACAAGTCTGCAATCCTGCCAACAGTGAACTAGGGTCCCCTTTTCTCTACAACCTCTCCAACACTTGTTGTTTGTTGCTTTGTTTATGATGGCCATTCTGACTGGTGTAAAGTGGTATCTCATTGTGGTTTTAATTTGTATCTCTCTGATAGCTAGCGATATTGAGCATCTTTTCATGTGTCTCTGGATCCTCTGTATGTCCTCCTTGGAGAAGTGTCTGTTCAAATCCCTTGCCCACTTTTTAATTGAGTTGCTTGTCTTCTTAGAGTAGAGTCGTGTAAGTTCTTTGAATATTTTGGAGATTAAACCCTTGTTTGAGGTATCATTGGCAAATATGTTTTACTATACAGTTGGTTCTCTTTTTATTTTAACACTATTTTCTTTAGCTGTGCAGAAGCATTTTACTTTGATGAGACCCCTTTGTTTATTCTTTCCTTTATGTCCCTTGCTCTAGGGGACATATCAGTAAAAATGTTGCTGCGTGGTCTTTCTGAACTCTTTAAGAGTCAGTCCAACTTTCTATCATTTTTTAAAAATTTTTATTTAGTTATTTTTCAAGTACAATTTTTTGTCTATTTCTCCCATCCCAGCCCCCCCGCCCCGTCTCCCCACCTCCCTCCCATTTCACCCCCCGCCCCCAGTCCTCATCCCTGTGTCTTTCATACTTGTTCCTCAAAATCCCTCCCCATTTTTCCCCCTAAATTCCCTTCCCTCTCCCCTCTGGTCGCTGCCCACTTGTTCTCTGTTTCAGTGTCTTTGTTTTTATTCTGTTTGCTTGTTTGTTTTGTTGTTTAGCTTCCTGTTAAAGGTGAGATCATACGGTATTTGTCTTTCAATGCCTGGCCTATTTCACTCAGCATAATGCTTTCCAGTTCCATCCATGTTGTTGCAAAGGGTAGTAGCTCCTTCTTTCTCTCTGCTGCATAGAATTCCATTGTGTATATGTACCACAATTTTTTGATCCATTCATTTACTGATGGGCACCTAGGTTGCTTCCAACTCTTGGCTATTGTAAATTGTGCTGCTAAAAATATGGAACACTTCACAAATTTGTGTGTCATGCTTGCGCAGGGGCCATGCTAATCTTCTCTGTATCGATCCAATTTTAGTGTATGTGCTGCCGAAGCGAGCACTCTATCAGTTTTATGAAGATGATTAAAACTCTCTCCAGCCCTGATTCCTCTCTTGAAAACTAATCTTGCATTCCCAACTTCCTCTTAGTCAATTCCCTGCACATAATATGTTTTTTAAAATTGATTTTTAGAAAGAGAAAGGATGAGAGGAGAGAAAGAGAGAGCACGCACAAGACATTGATTTGTTGTTCCACTTATGCATTCATTGGTTGATTCTTGTATATGCTCTCACTAGGGATCAAACTGGCAACCTTGGTATATTGGGATGATGCTCTAACCAAATGGCTTACTCAGCCAGGGCCAGATACTGTGTTTTTATAAACCCCAAAACTTTCCCACCTCACTCACAGTTTCTCTATTTCAATACATGGTACTCCCCATTACCTAGATATTTTTAGAAGTAGTACTCCTCAGTTCAAAAACCTCAGTGGGGCCTGGCTGGTGTAGCTCAGTGGCTTGAGTGCCACCCTGCAAACCAAAATGAAAGGGCACCAGTTCGATTCCTGATCAGGGCACATGCCTGGGTTGCGGGCCAGGTCCCCAGTTGGGGGGCATGCACATCGATGTTTCTCTCCCTCTCTTTCTCCCTCCCTTCCCCTCTCTAAAAATAAATAAAATCTTTTAAAAAATCTTGATGGTTTCCTATTACCTTCAGGAAAAGGCTTAAATTTCTTTGACTGGCACAGATTTTATTGTAACCTAGCTTTGGGGCCTGCTCAACCAGCAGTCCCCTATGCAAAATTTCTGATCCATCCAAAAGGGTCTCCATCATCTCTTGAAAAAAATCACCCCTTATAGTGTTTCCTTTTAGGGCAACTGACCTAATTATATGAAAATTCTTTCTAACATTCCTCACCAGTATAAATTCATCAAGGTCCAGCTCAAGTGACAACTTATTCTTGCTGTCATTCTGGATAACATTTTCAAAACCATCAAGTAGTTCTTAACTGTTGTATGTGAGGCATGACCACAAAGTAATGAGATTGGCCTTGACAAAAAATATGAGCACTCTCCTTACACCACATAATTTGCATCCCTAAGTAAAATAACCTCCTTAATAGCAAGGACCAGGCTTATTAATCTTGCTTACTATATGTCCTTCCCAATTCTTCCTACACACTCAGCATTTGCCCAGAACAAATATTCAATATCTGTCAAATGATTAATATACATGGGTACAAACAATAGGTAAGGTTCATCAACCACTAACTAACCAAGGGAAAGTCAACTTCTCTATGCTTCATTTTTTTCAACTATAAAATACAGATAACAATGCCTACCTCGGGGGCTGTATTAAATTCTATTACTGAGTTGTGAACTTCAAAGTACTGTACCAATATTCATTATTACTTCCCTCAACTCTTTTTTTTTTTTAAGATTTTATTTATTTATCTTTAGAGGGGAAGGGAAGGAGAGACGGAGAGAAACATCAATGTATGGTTGCCTTTCGTGCGTCCCCTGCTGGGAACTGGCCTGCAGGAAACCGGTCTGCAACCCAGGCATGTGCCCTGACTGGGAATCGAACTGCAATTGTCTGGTTCGCAGGCCCGTGCTCAATCCACTGAGTTACACCAGCCAGGGCTACTTCCCTCAACTCTTGATATAGCAGTTGGGCTTGGGATGAACTGAGAGGGCATTGTGGAACCGTAACATGTCCAAAACAACTCTTGATTTTCACCTCCTCGAACCTGTTACACAGTGGCCTTTCCACTTATTAGAGTTCCAGGGTCCTGACACGGGTTGCCTGGTTACTTTGCACTTCTGTCAGCCTAAGAACCACGCCCATCACCCCCTCATTCCGATTTCATTGGCTAGCTTGCGGCAGCCCTAGTACTCACCTGGCAGTTCCCTCATTAGGTAGAAGGGACCACAACCAGCTGCTGACTTGTCTGCACCAGGAGGGGCCGTTGCCGCGGTGGGGGCCGGAGCCGTGCCGGGTCCACCGCCTGGAGGAGGGGGAGGTGGTGGTGGAGCTTTTCCTGGTCCAAAGCCAAGTGCGGTTGGGGGTGGTGGTGGGTCGGCCTGAGCTCCGAATAGCGCAGTGAAATTCTCCATCTTTCCTTCTGCCCCGGCGCTGTCCTGAGGTCCGGCGCTAAAGATTTTCGTTGGACAATCCTTTTCCCCCTTGTACCGCCCTCTTCCTCCATGAGTCGCTTATCATTGGGTACTTAGGGACCGTTTACCTAGTTCCGGCAACTACTTCCGTCGCTCTATGAGTACGTTAAGGAAGTACTATATAACGTTATTAAATCACCTATTGTCTCCTCTATCTCACACCCAATAAAATGACTTAGGTGAAAAAAGTGACAGGTAGATTGACCAATAAAGTATCACAATCCTTTACCACCATAGGGTCCAATCAGAGATCTACTTCCGGTATCTGAGGCGGTGCATCTGAAACTCGGCCCAATGGAAGTCTCAATGGTAAGAGAGGCGGGGCAAGACCCACCAAAGTCGGAGAACGGTCTGCGCCGCCGCCGGGCCAAGAAGATGGCGGTCCTAGCACCTTTGATTGCCCTGGTGTATTCGGTGCCGCGCCTTTCACGGTGGCTGGCTCGACCTTACTACCTTCTTTCAGCCCTGCTCTCGGCTGCCTTCCTACTCGTGAGGAAGCTGCCCCCGGTCTGTCACACTCTCCCCACCCAACGCGAAGACGGCAACCCATGTGACTTTGACTGGGTAAGCGACCCCCACCTTCGGACCCCGCGACCTTGACCGTCCCTTCCCCCGCGGTTGCATCCAAGTGACCCGAGGCTCGCCTTTTTGAGAACACCAGAGGCTCCGAATCTGTAGCAGATTTACTATTGGAGTATAGGGCCTGGACCGTCATCGAATCTAAACATCTTCATGTTTAATTAAGATGGGACCCTGCCCAAACGACGCATGTGGGTTCAGCGTTTAACAGTGTTAAATGTGAAGCCTCTCAAGTGAGATAAACAAGACAAATAGTAGTATTCCCGTTTTATTGGTGAAGAAGTTGATCTCGGCGTGATTAGGAGACTTGTCCAAGGTCACAACTGGGATTTGAAACCACGCTTTTCACCATAGTACTCACACACTCTTATTACCCATTTCTCAATTCAGTGAACAGTCCAGAGTGCGCACTGTGTGTTAGGAACAGTGCTGCATCCTGTCAATATAAAAATAAAATTCTTATGCCTATTGAAAAGGAATTGTAAGATACAATTCGTAAAATAGTCTATCGCGCCCTGGCTCCCGTGGTTCAGTGGTTTGAGCACCGGCCTGTGAACCTAAGGTCACCTGTTTGATTCCCAGTCAGGGCACACAACTGGGTTGTGGGCCAAGTTCCTGGTTGGAGGTGTGTGCAAGAGGCGACCAAATCATACTTCTCTCCTTTCTCCCCCCTTTCTCTTTTCTCTGAAAATAAATTAAGAAATTTAAAAAACCATCTATTGCAAGCCTCTTGCTATACTTCTGAGTAGGGGTGGGAGGACCATTCAGACAAATGAGTTGAAGGCCTGTGCTTTCTGCTGTATAGAAGCATCTGTGTTCTGAGGAAGGAGGGTTATCTTGAGTTTTGGACTTTTTTCCAGTCCCCTTCCAGTTCTGAGGAAGGAGGGTTATCCTGAGTTTTGGACTTTTTTCCAGTCCCCAGGTTCTGACCTTTACCAGAACCCACTCTCTTACTTTTATCCTCCAATCCTTGTTTACTCTCTCAGTCTTCCTCCGTGCTTTCCCAGACAGCATTATTAATGAGCTCAAGTGTAGCCATACTTAATAAATGCAGGAAATTTTTATATAGTTTCTTAGAGTAGTCTTGTCTAATAATATGTAAAATCCTGGAAGGTTTTTTTTTTTTTTTTTAATTTTTATGGAAGGGAAAAAGAGTGGGAGAGAAATACCAATGTATGGTTGCCTCTCATGTGTCCCCTGCTGAGAACTGGCCCCTGCTAGGAACTGGCCTGCAACCCAGGCATGTGCCCTGACTGGGAATTGAATCTTGATCTTTTGGTTCGCAGGCCTGCGCTCAATCCACTGAGCTATACCAGCCAGGGCCAATACTGGAAGGTTTTATATGTATATGTTTTACTCTGGTTAAAAAAAATTTAACTGCAAATGGTCCCTGACTTAAGATGATTTGGCTTATGATTTTTTTTAACTTTAGGATGGTGTGAAAGTGATACACATTCAGTAGAAACCATACTTTGAATTCTGAATTTTGCTCTTTTCCTAGGCTAACGATATGTGTTATGATGGTGTCACCTAAGGTTGGGCAGTGGCAGTGAGACCCAGCTCGGTAATCAGCCACGCCATGAAGAGGGTGGACAACCAATACTCTACAGTGTAGTGTAAAATATGTTTTCCAGTTTAATGATGGGTTTATTGAGGTCTCTTATTTTCCCTAACCCCCAACATTACATGGCCACTTCTAAATCCAGCAAGTTTCTTTTTGTTGGAAGTTGAGGCTAAAAACCTAGGTTCCTGACTCCTAGCAGTAAATCACAATTCAGTGGTTCTGTCTGACAGTGGTTTAGCCTCTGTATTATAAACAAAGGTATGGAAGGCCTTAGACCATCCAGTCTATGGCTGTCCTCCTCCCACACTTTCTCTCACATGGTCCTTGTTATTCGTCATTGCAGTTTTTATTTTTTCAACTTATCCTGTTTGTTTCTTTGTTGGGTTTATTGTCTGTCCAACCTTGCTAACGTGAAGCTTAGATTCTAGAATGTGGGAAAGAACTATAAGCCAAGGATGTTGCCAAGGGCCTATGAGAGCTCAGGAACGCCTTCAACTCTCAAATTATATTAAAGGCAGCACATGGATTATCACTGTATATGGGGTGAAGGAGAATGATTTAGGAAATAAAACCAAATAAATGAAATAACCATATATTATATGAATGGACTATTACTGAGAAAATCTCCCTGGAAACGTTCTATTTCCCCAGAGTCACACTGAGTTGGTTGTAATATCTCACAGTTTTATACATACTTATACAACTCTTCTGTATTTGTTATCATTTAATGTTCACAATAGCATTTTGTAAATAGTTGTTCAGTGGAGGAAAACAGCTCAGCAGTTGATTCACTGAAAGGCACCAGCCAGGTTGTGGCAGGGTTAGAACTTGAACCTAGATTTTTTTTTTTTTTTTTAGATTTTATTTATTTATTTTTAGAGAGAGAAAGAGGAAGGAGAAAGAGGGAGAGAGACATCAATGTGTAGTTGCTTCTTACGTGTCCCCTACTGGGGACTTGGCCCTCAACCCAGGCATGTACCTTGACTGGGAATTGACCCTTTGGTTCGCAGGCCAGTGCTCAGTCCAGAGCAAGGGCAAACGTGGATCTTCTGACAGGTGTTTTTCATGTTATAACTTAGATGACTCTAGGATATCTATTAGTTTTGTTTCCATATGTAACTCTCTTACCCACCCATATTATCTCTGCTGATGGCATTCCTGTCACTTTCTGTTGCAGAGAGAAGTAGAGATCCTGATGTTTCTCAGTGCCATTGTGATGATGAAGAACCGCAGGTCCAGTAAGTTTAGTCTTTTTCTGTCTCCCAAAAGTAAGTCTAAAGCCCTCCAGAGGTGTTTTCATTTGTTATGAGGGGCATTATTTACGGACTAGACCTTCATTTCATGCCAGTACTGAATTTGATCTTGGACTTTCATCCCTCTTGCCGCTCTCCCATTTCAAAGTACTCCAGGAAAAGGGACAAAGAATGGGATATAGGAGCATGCAACCCAGCCTGACCTGTGACGTCTCTGTGTTTCAGTCACTGTGGAGCAACATATAGGCAACATCTTCATGTTTAGTAAAGTGGCCAATGCCATACTTTTCTTCCGCCTGGATATTCGTATGGGCCTGCTTTACATCACATTCTGCATAGGTAAGGAGACTACAAGACTTGGTTGTGAGAACCAAATCCTAAACCAGTTTCTCCGTGCTCTTTTTCCATATCTGTTCCTAACTAATTACGTTTGTAGCTTAGACGATAAGAATCTTACAGACTTTATTTGAAGAGAAAGGGAATACCACACGTGTATTTTTTGGTGCTTATAAAGTCTGAATTGGTTTGAAAGTAAATCCTTGCCTAAGGCCTTACATGTTCCCTCTGACATCTTTTTTTGTGTGTTCAGTGTTCCTGATGACATGCAAACCTCCCCTGTACATGGGCCCTGAGTACATCAAGTACTTCAACGATAAAACCATTGATGTGAGCGCTCATGCTTCTACCTGTTTTGGGGGTTCCTTGTGGGTAATTTTGTAGTTGTGCTCCCTACTCACTAGGAGGAGCAACCGTGCTTCAGCTTGGAAGTCAGGTGCACTGTGGTTCATGATGGGTGCTAAGGGAGATGGAGAGGGGAAGCCTTGAAGGGGAATTAGACTCGAAGGGCTGAAGCTTTTCCGGAGCCTCTGTGATTCAGCGCGCTGTTTCCTCCCTGTGTGTTGCAGGAAGAGCTGGAACGGGACAAGAGGGTCACTTGGATTGTGGAGTTCTTTGCCAATTGGTCTAATGACTGCCAATCATTTGCTCCAATCTATGCTGATCTCTCCCTCAAGTGAGTAGTGCAGAGCGGGGGATTGACAGATTGAGAGGCTTTACCTTCTCTCTGTCTTTGGCCTTGGTTTTTGTCCATTGCAACCAAAGGCATCCCCTTGAATAGTTGTATTTGCACTACCCTTGACCCATTCTCTCTTCTTTCACTATGTTAATTAATACATTCTTCTCAGGTACAACTGTACGGGACTAAATTTTGGGAAGGTGGACGTTGGACGCTATACCGATGTTAGTACACGGTATGTAAGGTCCTAGGTAGATGATCTAAACAGGGAATCACTTTGAGTGATGTATACAGATGCATTTACAGAGTACTTCTGGGCCCTGCAGGTACAAAGTGAGCACATCCCCTCTCACCAAGCAGCTTCCTACCCTGATCCTGTTCCAAGGTGGCAAGGAGGTCATGCGGCGGCCACAGATTGACAAGAAAGGACGAGCTGTCTCTTGGACTTTCTCTGAGGTACAGAAAAGCGTGGGCAAGTGGTTTGGAGAAGGGTATGAAGCAGTAGGGTGGGCTTTTGAGCCCAACCTGGGTTGGATTCCTAGTTCTGCCACTTGCCACAAGCTTTGAGAGTGCGGACTCTTCATTGGATCTCATTTATGAATTCACTCAGCAAATTTTTAAAAAATATTTTATTTATTATTTTTAGAGAGAGGGGAAGGGAGAATGAAAGAGAGGGAGTGAAACATCAGTGTGTGGTTGCCTCTCTCGTGCCTTCTTCTGGGGACCTGGCCTGTAACCCAGGCATGTGCCCTGACTGGGAATTGAACTAGCAATACCTTGGTTCACAGGCCTGTGCTCAATCCACTGAGCTACACCAGCCAGGTCACTCAGCAAATTTATATTATGCTTCTACCGTGTACCAGACCTGCTGGTATTGGGGAATTACGAGTTAAGATTAAGTTTCAAAGGCCCTAGTCTGTAAGCTTCAGGTTCTTATGTTTAAATGGGAGATGGTAACACTTGGCTGATAGGGTTGTTTTTCAGATTCCATTCAACAGTGTAGCTATACTTGGCAGAGTGATGTGCACATAATGGGTGTTTATTAGTTGACATCTCGGGTACCCATAGAAGAGATTTAGGTTAGAGTACATGTTGGTCCTTTGCTTTCTTTTCCTAGTCTGTGCCTAAATACATCTTACTTCCCAGGCTGTGAACTCTCCTTTCCACCCCTGATGTCTGCATCTCTTTTGTTTAGGAGAACGTGATCCGTGAATTCAGCTTGAATGAATTGTATCAACGGGCCAAGAAGCAATGGAAGGCGGGAGATAATATTCCTGAGGAGCAGCCTGTGACCCCAAACCCCATGGCAGTGCCAGACGGGGAAAGCAAGAAGGACAAATAAGCCCCCTGCCTTGTTAGTGCTTCTTCTCTGGTCAATCCCAGGCACATTTGAAGCCCTGCCCTTTCTGTAATCACAGCCTTGCTTGAGGTCTCACCTTTTATTTATGTTTTCCCTGTTCGGCTGTGCTGGGTGCGGCCCGGTGCTGCTTCTGATTTTCAAGAAGCATTCAGGGAATTGACAGGCACGCTCCAGGAAGACCAGTGTTGTGGCCAACTACTTCGGTGGAGGGAGGGAGAGGTCTCATATAATGGAGGGGAAATGCTTTCCTTCCAAGCTTGGGTCACTGTCAAGTGCTGCCCATCACTCACACATCTCCACCATGCTCTGGTTTCTATATTCCTTACAGACTCCACAGACTTCTTACAGTAGATTGAGCCTAACATAAGATGCCAGGGTACAGAGTCTGCACTAAAATTTTCCCTCAAGGACCCTTGCTGCTTTAGGCTCTTCTGGATTGGTCTGTGGCCTTCATTAAAGATTATAAACGTAACTTTGTCACTGTACAAACCCCTAAGTACAGAGCTTTCTCACTGAACATAGTATTTGATAATCTAGTTTTAATGGAGGTTGGGAGGGAGTGGAATAGAAGTTTGAGACCTTCCTTCGTGTGGTGGGGTCGGAGAGAAAAGCCCGTGAGCAGGATTGGGGTTTCACTTACTCTCCCACCGGAGTTCATGGTTTTTTTTTTTTTTTTTAATTTTATTTATTTATCTTTAGAAGGGAAGGGAAGGAGAGAGGGAGAGAAACATCAATGTGTGGTTGCCTTTCATGCGTCCTCTGCTGGGAACTGGCCTGCAGGGAACCAGCCTGCAACCCAGGCATGTGCCCAGACTGGGAATCCAACCACGATTGCCTGGTTTGCAGGCCCGCTGCTCAATCCACTGAGCTGCATCAGCCAGGGCCATGGTTTTCCATAATAAAAAGACTGGGGTTTTCTTTTGATTTGCGCAGTCTCGTGTTCCTCAAGTATTAAAAAGTAAGACAATTGCAAAGGAATTGCCTAACTTCTAATTAACTTCAAAGGCCATTACCATTAGTTTCACCAAATGCCAGTCATTGATAACCAGGATTAGAGAGAGTTGGGGAAAACTGGTTTCCGTAAATCCAGAGTGCTGACCACACCATGTAAAACAACTTGGTTAGGGATTGGGCCGCAAGTTCCAGGGAGAGATGTTCAGGGCTGGGGATAGAGCTCGTGATGCAGGCTACTTAGCCAATCTCGCGGTTACAGAAAAATCTGAGGTCAGGTTTGTTTTCGGGGCTACCTAGAGCCCATCCCAGCTGTATTGGACCACTGATCCACTTGGTTAGGCCTCGCTCACCGTATTTCTTCCCCGCCATCACTCTGCGTGCGGAGTGGCTGTACCCGGAAGTCCCGCCTACCGGCCACGTGCGTGCGCACGCCACGTTTTCCGCTACTCCGGAGAGTTCTGGTAGCGGAGTTCTTGGTCTGCGGTTTGGAGCTCGGAGTAGGTCCGTTCACTGCTCCAGGGCCGCCCAGTTGCTGCATCCCCACCCTTTTCCCGCTCTGGGTCTGCTGCGGGCTAGGCTCCAGGTGCCATGGCTTCTCGAGGGAGGAAGCGAAAGGCAGAGGCGGCGACGGTGGTTGCAGCAGCTGAGAAACAGGAGAAGTTGGCTGGCGGCCAGAAGGAAGTGGTGGAAGCGACCGTAGTTATCGAGCATTGGTGAGGGCCCTGGAGGGTCTCGGGGAAGGGAGCAAGGGCGTCTTACACCGTGGGCCCTGATCTCTGACTCTAGCTGTTTCTCCGTAGCACGAGTTGACGCGTGTATGGGCGCAACGCCGCGGCCCTGAGGCAGGCGCTGCTCCTGGAAGCCCCGGAGCTTCCAGTGAAGGTGAACCCTGCCAAGCCCCGGAGGGGCAGCTTCGAGGTGACGCTGCTGCGCCCAGACGGCAGCAGTGAGTGGTGGCCCGGGTTCGGAAGAAGAGGGCAGAGGTCCGAGGAGGGGGAAGGGCCAGCAGTGGGGGGAGGTAGTAACGTCGCTTTGTTGGGTCTTTCCCCAGGTGCAGAGCTATGGACTGGGATTAAGAAGGGGCCCCCACGCAAACTAAAGTTCCCTGAGCCGCAAGAGGTGGTGGAGAAGCTGAAGAAGTACCTTCCGTAGAGCGGTTTGGGTAGAAATCCTCATGCTGAGGTTTGAAATGGCGAGGGGCTAGGGAGGGATTGGATTGATCTTGATGTGGCTATTTGCAAAGCAACCTTTACTTTTACTCCGTATTCCACCCAGGACCTACATTTCCTTCAAAAGTAACTGTTCTCAGTATTTTCTCTATTGAGGATACCTCTTAACCCTTTGTACTTGTAAGAGAAACTGAAGTCGGCAAAAAATTCTGTAGTGTTTTCCATCTGGTGTGCCCTTTGCTAACTCCGTGTCTCATTTTTTAATTGTCTTTGAGCCAAGTCTTAGAATTGAAGGTAATATAAATTATTTCTAGAAATGCAGTTTATGTCCTTTGAAGATGCCATTCATTATTGCCCTTGCGGTATGGACGGGCTTTGTTAAAAAAATTTTTTTCCCACATCCCTGATGGGCAAGTGTTTTCTTTGAAGTAATTGTAAAGCTCACCAGCTCCCTCATTTACAAATGAAACAAAATCACTGACACGTGTTTATTTGTATGGGTGTATTTGTATTTCCCCTTTTAGAAAGGCAAAAATCTTTGTGTAATTTCACATATACTTACCCCTACCCTCTTGTTTTGTTTTGTCCCTCTTACATCTTTCTGTTAATAGACCCATGTGGCAACACTGAGAGTTATTGAACTCTTAAGTCACTTGGATTTGACCTTGTCTTTAATCCTAGTGCTTCATACAGTGCTTTGGCATGTGCTCAGGGAGATGTGGGAAGAGGATGCAATCCTTGACCTCTCCCTAGTCTGGGGGAGCTGATCTTCTTGGGTTGTACGATTGCCTGGATCTCTTCTGTAACGTTTTTTTTTTCTCTCTCATTTTCACAGCCTTCTGTCTCTGGTGATGTTGGAGCCTTTATGATGGGACATGGCCAAACTTCAGTCATGTGCCTGGAGCTATGGTTTCTTCCCCTCCAGAAATGATGGTTCAGTTGTGAGGCAACCCTCTAGTAAGGCACTGAAAAGTTCTTGGATTTGGTTTTCTTAATAAAAGTTGAAATAAAGTACTTGAGTAATAAAGTGAAACGTAATTTTATGGTGAAGGGTAAAAGCCAGTCTTAGGGGCTCGGTCCCCTTTGTATTTTTTATAGCCTAAAGTTACCACTTAACCTGGAATTCCTAGGGCGTCTGATAAAGCATATGACGTATTTGTAAAAACTTTTGGGGAAAAGTAAATAACTTACTATTCTTTTTTAAAGCAACTGGATCTATTTCAACTCACTTCTTGGAAGTGATGATGGAAGTACTTCTTCCTGGCCCCAGCAGGGATTTTGGCTAAGACTTCTCAAACTGGGAATAAGCAAGCTCCACTCATAATGTGCCAGACAATGTCCTGTCACTCCCACCCACTTCATGTTCCACCCCAGCACTGCTTCACACCTTCTGGAACATTTTCTCTGACATAGAATTACTGTAGAGGGTATACTTAATTTTTCCTGGATCAGTGGTGCCTCATAACCTGGGAGACCTGGCCTTGGCTGTTACCTACTAGAGTTGGAGACCACAGTTTATTGTTCTACTTGTCACTGGAAAGTAAATTATAAGTAACTAAGGTGGTTCAAGTTCATAATTTCCTACCCATGGTACTACTAGAGTTCCGCCTAACTCCCCAAAACAGGCAGGGGGTGAAGGAGTGCAGGGCCTACAGAACAAGGGGTATGCCTGCCTCTTGTGCCAAGAGGACAGGACATAGGACATGTCCTAGCCTCTATGCCAATAGCTCTTTTGCTAACCAACATTTCCCATCTGCCCAGTGCCCCTAAAGTGCCTTCCCCACTCTACTAGGTTAGTATGTCTACCTCTGTTTCTGACTCTGAGGAAGGGTCAGGCCACACAGAGGGAATACTGATGGGTACCAGCCTCCCCTCTGATGTCCAGTCTACCACATCAATCTCTTCCTCTTCAGGGCTGGCAGAAAGTGGGTCCATTGGTTCATAGTTGCTAAGTACCTCCTTGCCTGGTTCTGGAGCAGGGTACAATACTTCTTCCACTGCCAGGGACAATTCTGGCCCAGTCTCTACCCAGTTAGAACAGGGAGGTGAGAAGGCTCCATAGGACCTTTGGGGAGGGTCAAGGGAGTCAATGCAGAGAAGTCTGTCTCTCTGACTGTCCAGTGGCTGGGAGCTGGTAGTTTCTTGGCCTTGAGTCCAAGAGCTTCCTATTGAAAGTACCTCCCCTTCACTAATCTTAGAGGGTATGACAAGGGGGCTAATGGGTTCGACTGGTTCTTTGTTCTCACCAGGAGGTTCCTTTTCCAATCCTGTGAGCTCCCTGGGCCAGAGTTCCATGTCAGGTAAATACCATTCTTCCCTTTCCATCCAGTTCTTTCCTGTTTCTGTTAGGTGATAACTAGGAGTCCTATAGCCCTGAGCCTTGGGACTCTCCAGAGATCCTGTAGGTGGCTCAATATCTGAGCCACATAGCATGAAGTCCAGGATCTCCTCCAGCTCATTGGTGGCAGCAACACTTGTGATTCGGTACTCTTCAGCTTCACAGGGCTGCCCCAATAGGGCTGTATCAAATGCATATGCCTCTCTGCAGTCAATATCAAACCCAGGTTCCTTCCCTACCAGCTCTGGACTGGACCCAAACTCAGACTGCACCACTGGGTGGTCTGGGGAGCAGCTAGCAGAGAGCAGAATGTCTTCGAGCCTGGAGCACACTGGGGAGTCCTGACCCAGATCTATTCTAGTAGATGACATTTCCTGCTGGTTAACTGAAGATAGCTGAGCCCCTGGAGGCTCTCCTGAGTCTCCAGATTCTGGGATATGAGGGCTAACTTGAGAGGTTTTGAGGGGAGGCTCCTGTACCACCTCCCAGCAGGTCCCATTGACAATCTTCCTAAGTTTCACTCTTCCAACCTGCCCTTCCTCTGCAGAGTCTGAGTTAGGTGCCCTGACTTCAGGACTCCATTTCTTACTCCCACCCATCTTTCCAAGACCAGATGGGCTTGGGGTGCTGTGTAGAGGACTAGCTCTCCCTGGTTTCTGCTTGTCCTCTGGCACTTCTTTATTTATGCTCTTCTGTCGCCAAAGACGCCGTCCAGGGGCTGCAGGCACTGAGCTGGGTCCACTTAAAATGCTGGAAGACTTGGATGTGCAGATATCACGTGATGGCTTTGACCGGCTCAGCCTGATCTTTCTGGGCAGTAGTTGCTTATCCACAGAAGGATCCAAGCTGGGTGGGGAAAGCTCTGCAGGACCAAGAATGGCATCACTCTTGTTCTCTTTAGACCCCTGACTGTGACTTGATGGTGAAGAGTTTTCTTCTTGTGGAGCTGGGCAGGCTCTGACCTTCCTCTTGAGTTGAAGCGTACCAGACAAGTTCTCTGTATTCTGGCGGTTGCTTTTGTCCTGGGGCCCCTCATCCTTCCCTGACAACTTCAATCTCACTGCTCCAAAAGGACAGGGAGTCTGAGTAACAGGTAGTGGAGTTTGAGAGCGGTGACTGGATGCCACCACCCTGGCAGAGATTGGTGTAGCACTTGGAGGTTGTAAACACTCCCGGTTCAGTCTTCGGCCTTGAGGGGCTTTCACCAACTTTCCACCCTCTAGCTGAAGGGATTCTAGCTCAGACACATGGAGCTGACGGGCAGCAGAAAGCACATCCTGGGCTTCTTCTTGAGATAGTTCCATCTCTGAGGTATATAGGAAGTTCACCAGCTTCCTAAGTGTCCTGATCTTCAGGCCACCCAGCTCCAGTATCACCTTACAGCCCTGAGCTGGCCTCTCCCGCTCCAGACGCTCTTTGAAGAAGGGGCTGCAGGCAGACAGGATACAGCAATGGGCTGGGACTACCTCACCTGGAAGGAAACCCAAACACTTGGTTACCTCACACAGACTGGTATGTTCATGAGCTAAGCACAAGTAAAACAACCTAAATGTGCTGCCCCTTCTCTCATTTTCCCTCCATGGAAATTCAAGGAGAAGGAAAAGTGTTCCTTTTGCTTTCCTGGATCTTTCTGCTATTACCTAGCTAACCCAAAATGTAGTTTAGCCATCACTTCTTTCATAAAATCTTCCCCCGCTGTATCCCATGTCTGGGTTAGGTGCTCCTGGGCACAGAGAAGTACTTGTAGCTGACATAGGACTTAGCTATCTGTATTGTCCATCTTCACTAAAAGTAAGGACAGAATCCATGCCCATCTTGCTCACTGAGGTTGTTTACCCAGTGGTTGTAGGGGATCAAATACTTGCTGAATAAGTTTTTGTGACTCACATGAGTGTAAAAAAGTTTATAGAGGCTGCTCATGATCTAATAGAAAGAAAGGCCATGAGCTTTGGATGTGGATAATCAGAGCTCAATTCTCTCCTGAGCCCTATCCACTGCCTACTAGGCAGTGGTCTGTCCTGAAGCACCTTCTTACTTTATGGGCACTTCCTGGGCAGTCTCAGTCTCTCCCATGGCTTCAAATATGAAAAGCTTGCTGATGATTCCCAGGTCCTACCTCTGTCCAGATTACTTTCTTGAGACGCTGAAGATGCCATAGCCTGCATGTCTACAGGGATGTCCCACAAGTACCTCCAATGAAACCTTTCTAGAAAGTGAAGTCATCCTTCCTCACCCACCAACACCATCCACTTCAAAATACAGTATCACATTCACCCAGTTCAAACCTGAACACTAGAAGTTATCACTGATTCTCCTTTACCTATTGCATCGAATCTAATTTTTAAAAAGCTAATACTTTTTGAGTCCTTATTAAGTGCCAGGTATTGTTCTAAGAGTTTTACCAGTATTCATTTAATCTTCACTGGACCCCTATGAAGTAGTTGTTGTTATATTACATATGAGTAAATTTTGGCATATTTAAGTAGCATGCCCACAATTACGTGGTTAGAAAGTAGCAAAAAAAGAACATGGGGTCTGGCTACAGAGCCTATACTCAACTGCAAAAAGGTTGTAAATTCTTTCTATATGTGTATTTATATTTATATTTGTACATGTAAATATACATAGATATGTAACTTACTTTTATCATATTTTTTTCCATTACCATTTACCCCCCTTACACCCTCTTCCACTTCTACCCACCTCCCTCCCCCATCTCTGGAATTACCATTCTATTGTCTATGTCAGTGAATCCTTTTCTGTTTTTTGCTCGATCCCTCCACCCCCTAACCACCTTCCCTCCCTCCTGCTGAGCTGTCAGCCTGCTGTCTGTCTCTGTTGCTTCTTGGTTCAGTTTGTTCATTATGTAAATTCTCTTTAACAGCTCAAAAGCCAGAAATTTCTCTCTACTTGCAATGCATTAGTTCAGGCCACCACAAATAACCCAGTGATCTTTGTGCAGCCTGAGTCCTGTTTCTAAAAGTAGGTATCCAAACAAGCCCCTATATTTTGTTGAACAACTGTATGATTCCAGGAAGGGCAAGGGGACATGCAACAAGGTCTTGATTAGAATCATGATCTCCCCCAGTGAAAATTGGGTCTGAATTCAAGGAAAAGTTCAGCAAGTCCCTGTACTATTACATCCAGCAAGACACCAAGGGTGACTACCATAAAGTGCTGCTATACCTGTGTGGTGGGGATGACTGAAGCCTGAGATGGCTTGAGCGTCCAGTGGTGATGCTCTTGTGCTTCTTCTAGCAAATGATTCTAGAAAATCAGCATGTGACTGATAGTCCCCTGTGCCCATCCCTGAGGATAATGTTAGCATTGCTCGTGCCCTGACCTTATTTCAGCTGCTCAAGCACTGCCTGGCTTTCCCATCTAGTCTCTCCTTTTAGCCAAAGAAATGAACATTCCAAGGAATTGCAAGGGAAATTTATGATGTGAAACACTTTGTCTCTTATGTACTGTGTCATAAACAGATTAAAAAGTAGGTATCTGGCCATGACCTTAAAACCTATGAATATAATTACTAATGTTCTGAGGATAACTCCTACTTCCTTTGCATAACAGCATAGATCTTATGTGGCTGCTGCTAATTTCTCTAGCACTATCTCTGGTCCATACACCTCATGTAACCTGCACTCTGGCCATAATGAGCCACTCATAAATCTCT